CTGAGGAATTTTTTTCTATAGAAAAAACTTACCTCAGTGACCTGAGGAATTTTTTTCTATAGAAAAAACTTACCTCAGTGACCTGAGGAATTTTTTTCTATAGAAAAAACTTACCTCAGTGACCTGAGGAATTTTTTTCTATAGAAAAAACTTACCTCAGTGTCCTGAGGAATTTTTTTCTATAGAAAAAACTTACCTCAGTGTCCTGAGGAATTTTTTTCTATAGAAAAAACTTAACTTAGTGTCCTGAGGAATTTTTTTCTATAGAAAAAACTCACCTCAGTGACCTGAGGATTTTTTTCTATAGAAAAAAACTCACTTCAGCGGCCTGAGGAATTTTTTTCTATAGAAAAAACTCACCTCAGTGACCTGAGGAATTTTTTTCTATAGAAAAAAACTCACCTCAGTGACCTGAGGAATTTTTTTCTATAGAAAAAAACTCACCTCAGTGACCTGAGGAATTTTTTTCTATAGAAAAAAACTCACCTCAGTGACCTGAGGAATTTATTTCTATAGAAAAAAACTCACCTCAGTGACCTGAGGAATTTTTTTCTATAGAAAAAAACTCACCTCAGTGACCTGAGGAATTTTTTTCTATAGAAAAAAACTCACCTCAGTGACCTGAGGAATTTTTTTCTATAGAAAAAAACTCACCTCAGTGACCTGAGGAATTTTTTTCTATAGAAAAAAACTCACCTCAGTGACCTGAGGAATTTTTTTCTATAGAAAAAACTTACCTCAGTGACCTGAGGAATTTTTTTCTATAGAAAAAACTTACCTCAGTGACCTGAGGAATTTTTTTCTATAGAAAAAACTTACCTCAGTGACCTGAGGAATTTTTTTCTATAGAAAAAACTTACCTCAGTGACCTGAGGAATTTTTTTCTATAGAAAAAACTTACCTCAGTGACCTGAGGAATTTTTTTCTATAGAAAAAACTCATCTCAGTGGCCAGAGGAATTTTTTTCTATAGAAAAAACTCACCTCAGTGGCCAGAGGAATTTTTTTCTATAGAAAAAACTCACCTCGGTGGCCTGAGGAATTTTTTTCTATAGAAAAAACTCACCTCAGTGGCCTGAGGAATTTTTTTCTATAGAAAAAACTCACCTCAGTGGCCTGAGGAATTTTTTCTATAGAAAAAACTCACCTCAGTAGCCTGAGGAATTTTTTTTCTATAGAAAAAACTTACCTCAGTGATCTGAGAGATTTTTTCTATAGCAAAAACTTACCTCAGTGACCTGAGGAATTTTTTCTATAGAAAAAACTTACCTCAGTGACCTGAGGAATTTTTTTCTATAGAAAAAACTTACCTCAGTGGCCTGAGGAATTTTTTTCTGTAGAAAAAACTTACTCCAATGAGCTGAGGAATTTTTTCTGTAGAAAAAACTTACCCCAGTGGCCCGAGGATTTTTTTTTTATTTTCCATTCTTTTCTGGCATACATGTCGTGTTCTAGAGACAACTTTTTTAAGATTTATTAACTACATACTTCTTGGTTAATAAATCAATTACGATTTACAAGATAGAACAGCAACTGCAACAACAACCACATGGCAGTAATCCTGCTAACCTCACAGCAAAGGAAAAAAACGTACTGGACTTTTTTCTTTCCAAACAAATGCAAAACAATTATTATTTGTTATGGCACACATTTTCTCTTGGCCAAAGAGAGAGAGAGAGAGAGGGATGGGGGCATCAACATGTAAATGCCGGTTTCAAACTCAACTTGCAAGACCAGAATCTTTGAAAACCCCTCCATGACTTATGTAACCTCATTTCCATAATACCGAAAGAAATATAAACCAGCCACCCGGCATGGCATTACTTCACCAGTTCCACTTATGGCCGTTCATCTGTGCATCTGTAGCTTTGGCTGTGTTTGAGCCAAGCTGTGCTTGAATTAAGACAATGCAAGCCACCGCCACCATTGGCTGGCCTGGCCTGGCCACCAATCACCATTTGACCAAAATAGAAAAGTCCATTCGGAATGAGAATGGGAGAATTGAAAAAAACAATGTTTTTTTTTTTTTTTTGGTTTCCAGTTCATCAGACAAATGTTGCTGCCGTTGCTGCTGCTGCAGCAGCCAATCGACATTCAAATGGAGATAAGCCAATGAACATGGTCACCACCAGTCTTGGGTTTATGGCTGGTGGTTGTGAGGTCTGTTCAAGGCATGAAAACCATGATCCGAGGTATTAGAAAAATGGGGAAAATATGGGGGAGATATGAAATATTTTATTGAGAAAAAAAAGAACCCACAGGGGCTTCGAAATATTTTTCAAAAAAAAAAAAAAAACAAAAAACAAAAACATCCTCAATGAGGTACATTTTTCACCCATGCCTCAAATTTTTTTTAACGGAAAAACATACTACCCTGTGCTCCCTTTTATTCTTTCCGATATAACGGATGTCTCAAAGATTTTTTTTTATAAAATTTTTTAAAAAACTGATGTTTAAAAAAAAGCTTTGATTCGGATTTTTTTTTTCTGAAAAAAAATTACATTGATGAGGCGTATGATTTTTTTTTTTTTTTAATCGTCGCTTTTTAGGGTTTCGGATTTTTCCTGTGGAAAAATCTCCTTTCTGAAGTCTTGTAATTTGTTTTGTAGAGAAAACTTTCTCACTGAGCTCTCCCAATTATATATCATCTTCTTAAAGAGATCTCGGTATACTATTTCTCTTTCCCAGAACTTTCCAAACCTCCCTCCTAGATTTTAGAAAAAAGACCTCAGATGTTTTTTTTTTTTTGAAGTTTCTGGTTAAACTTGGCTTGAGGTTTTCGATTTAAATATTGCCGTACAAGAATGGTGCAGGCTCATATTATTTGTTGGAAAATCTATAGAAAAAAATCTCCAATAGAAGTTTGGCGCTCAGCTTCTTTTTCCTACCGAATAGTTTGTTGTTATTGGTGTTTTTTTTTTATTGAAATATGTTAATAAGGTTACATAACTGTTTTTTCTTTTGTTGGCACACATAAACGAAGAAAAATTGATAAGAATACAACAAAGAAGCTGGATTGCAACACCACCACGAAAGCAGATACTCGGCTGCCATGGCAAAGGGGGACAGTGGCCAGTTGGCAGTAAATCGCTTGTGGCACACATGGAACTAGCCATCCATTCATCTTTGCTTTGCCTCGATGACAAGCTTGCCTTGTTAGACCTTTAATGATTTATAGTTTGCATTTTTTACAATCACAATATTGGCCGAAGTTCTGAAACCCCCCTGAGCACTTTCACCTCTTTATTTAAAATTTTGAAAGAGATTTTTTATTTTTGTTTCGCAAAGTGGGAAACGAGAACAAAACATAAATATTAAATATTTAGATCGAAACCCCAGGTCATGGGGCTTGAATAGCCATAAGGGAAAGTGGATTTCTGTTAACTAAGTTCTATGAGCTGTCAATTCAAAAAATTCAGTTCTCATTTAATAGAAAATTTTCTATAGAAACCCATAAATCCTCTGTTCTCTAAAGATTGAATGGAAATAATTTCAATATAACAAAAATCAGGAAATTCTCCGTGAACTGAGGTGAATTATTTGTATAGAAAAAATTTCTCAGGCCACTGAGGTGGATTTTTTCTATAGAAAAAACTCCTCAGGCCACTGAGGTGGGTTTTTGTATAGAAAACAACTTTCTCAGGTCACTGAGGTGGATTTTTTCTATAGAGAAAATTTTCAGGCCACTGAGGTGAGTTTTTTCTATAGAAAAAAAAAATTCCTCAGGCCACTGAGGTGAGTTTTTTCTATAAAAAAAAATCCTAAGGCCACTGAGGTGAGTTTTTTCTATAGAAAAAATTTCTTGGGCCTCTAAAGTGAGGTTTTTCTATAGAAAAAAAATCCTCAGGTCGCTGAGGTAAGTTCTTTCTATAGAAAAAAAAATCCTCAGACCACTGAGGTGGTTTTTTTATAGAAAAAAATTCCTCTGGCCACTGAGGTGTTTTTTTAAAGAAAAAAAAATCCTCAGGCCACTGAGGTGAGTTTTTTCTATAGAAAAAAGTTCCTCAGGCCACTGAGGTGACTTTTTTCTATAGAAAAAAATTCCTCAGGCCACTGAGGTGGCTTTTTTCTATAGAAAAAAATTCCTCAGGCCACTGAGGTGGCTTTTTTCTATAGAAAAAATTCCTCAGGCCACTGAGGTGGCTTTTTTTCTATAGAAAAAAATTCCTCAGGCCCCTGAGGCAAGTTTTTTCTATAGAAAAAAATTCCTCAGGCCACTGAGGTGGGTTTTTTTATAGAAAAAAATTCCTCAGGCCACTGAGGCAAGTTTTTTCTATAGAAAAAAATTCCTCAGGCCACTGAGGTGGGTTTTTTCTATAGAAAAAAATTCCTCAGGCCACTGAGGTGGGTTTTTTCTATAGAAAAAAATTCCTCAGGCCACTGAGGTGGGTTTTTTCTATAGAAAAAATTCCTCAGGCCACTGAGGTGGGTTTTTTCTATAGAAAAAAATTCCTCAGGCCACTGAGGTGGGTTTTTTCTATAGAAAAAAATTCCTCAGGCCACTGAGGTGGGTTTTTTCTATAGAAAAAAATTCCTCAGGCCACTGAGGTGGGTTTTTTTTATAGAAAAAAATTCCTCAGGCCACTGAGGTGGGTTTTTTCTATAGAAAAAAATTCCTCAGGCCACTGAGGTGGGTTTTTTCTATAGAAAAAAATTCCTCAGGCCACTGAGGTGGGTTTTTTCTATAGAAAAAAATTCCTCAGGCCACTGAGGTGGGTTTTTTCTATAGAAAAAAATTCCTCAGGCCACTGAGGTGGGTTTTTTCTATAGAAAAAAATTCCTCAGGCCACTGAGGTGGGTTTTTTCTATAGAAAAAAATTCCTCAGGCCATTGAGGCAAGTTTTTTCTATAGAAAAAAATTACTCAGGCCATTGAGGTAAATTTTCTCAGGAAAAAATCTCAAATTTGAATTTTCCCAAAGAAATTAGAATTTATAAAAAAAATTGTCCCCATGGACGTAGAATTGTATGTCCTTTCAGTTTTCTCTAAACGTAAACTTACCGTATTCAATTTCTCCATCAGCGTAGACATTTGATTTTTCGAACACATTTTGCTGGCTGTGTGGTGTTAAAACTTGTAGAAAATCCAAAAAACGTTGAGGAAATGAATATCCAAAAATAAATATTTTTTTGTTGTTTTAAAAACAATCCATGACAATTATGGACGAATGGGAATTTTTGACACAATTTTCAAATACATTTTATTTTCAATTTATTTGTTTTTTTTTTTCAAAAATATTTTTTCAAATCTGTTTGTGTTTTTTATCGCACTGATAACAATTTCTCTTTGTGGGGGAAAACGAAACAACAACACTTAATTATTTATGCAAACTATGGAGACAAAATATGCAGGCGTAGATGTTGTTGGGAAGAGTCCATGGGGTTTAGACCAGTTTTATGTTTCGATTTGTTGGGGTAAAAAAGTAAAATTGATATTTTGCATAAATTTCTGGTTGTTAAGTCTTCTTAACTTTCATTTAAATTGGAATTTATTTGTTTCTATGATTTTTGGAATTTTATTTTATTTATAAGGTAATTTAAATTCCAGTACAATATTTGCATTTACTAATAGGTGTCATTTTTGGGGGGTAATTTTATGGTTGGGAATATTTGCATATTTTTAGATTTTTTTTTCAAAAATTTGCACAAAAATGAAAGTCTAGTTTGAATTTTATTTTAAAATTTTTTTTCTAATTTTTTTAAGAACAGAAATTATTATGCCATCTTTTATGGGGCCATCAAATCTATGGGGTTTCATACCCTATGTTGACTGCGTTAGAAGTTTTTTTTTTGAAAATGTATTATTTTTGAATTTTTACTATATTTAATTTTTCCAAATATTTATTTGTCCATTTTTTTAATATTTTCAAAATTTTCACATTTTTGTTTTTTTTTTATTTTTTATGAAAATATATTTTTTAATTATTTTTTGTTTATTTTATTTTTTTAATAATTTTTTCTATGGAAATATCCATATATATTTATTTTTTTATTTTATTTTCGTATTTCGTTAAAGTCCCGTTTTCTTGCGTAGTTGCAGAAAAAAATAAACAATCAAGCTTTATATACTTTAGCTTTCAAGCGCGTTCACATCAACGAAACGTGCACTAAGCTCGACGTTTAAAGACGTTATGAATACCTTGGTCAGACTTAAAGACACTCTTGGTGTCTGGCTGGCTACCTAATGTAATCTCCACACACACACACACACACACACAATCTCCCAGCACTCAACAGATATGTCTCGCAGAAACCGCAAAACAAAACCCCAACACAACAACCTTTAATGCACATTAAAATGAAACCCCAAGTAGCAGCCAATCACACACACACACAAACGTACAGCAACAGCTTAACAGGCCCCCAACCGTTTCTCAACATAAATACTTGCACACACACACACGCACACATGACGGAAAACAGGTGCTTTGGCATTAGCAAAGAGTGTTAAGTTGCAAGTGGGCAATAATACCACAACCACAATGAACGCATAAACACAAAAACAAAACCTGAAAAAGAGTTAATGAGCAACGGAAAAGAGCATAGTTTTCCAATAGAGTGAAGCTCTCAGGGTAACCAACATGAGCATAACACAACAACCAGCCGGCTTCTTGCAACAGAAGGTTGTCAACAATGTATAAGAAAAAATATGTCTGAGAAAAGCATTGCAAATATTTGAGAAGAGACAAGAGACACAACACCCCATCTACCCACACCAACAAAAACAAATAAAGCATAACACAGGCTCCCAATCTCAGCACACATTACCACCCCCACCTCCCACACAGCAACACACAACACCATAACAAATAACAGGAGAAAAAAGTCTCCCAATCTCAGCAATTCACCTCCCACACCTCCCCCTCCCAAAACACACACAACACCAAACAAAAACAAAACACAGACTCCCAATCTCCCTCCCACTATTCACCATTCGTTACACACACACAACACCATAACAAACCTCTTTGAGAGCACACAAATATTTACCTTTATTAATTACTAATTACTCCATGCTCTGAGAGTCATCTCAGCAATGAAGAGCCAAAGAGATCCAAATGCCTCCCATAATAAAACTCTTATTCTCTTTGCTCCACATCTTAGCAACTCTTTGGTTTTTTCATGATTTGCAATTATGTTGTTTTTGATTTGCAAAAGTGCAAAGGTGTGTGTGTGAATATGTGAGCGTAAGGGAGATAGGGTCTTTATTATTTTAGGCACAACCGTTTACATTTAAAACATACTTTCTTTGTAATTTAACGCTTGTCTGAAGGTGTTTTATGTAAAATAGGCAATGTTTTTTAAGGGAAGTTCTTTGAAAAAAGATAGATAAGAAAGTAAAAAGGCAGATTCTAATTTCATATTTAAAAAGGAGAAGATCTGAAAGGGATGAATTTATAATGAAGATGCGAGTAACTGACTGATTTTTTTATTTTTTTTGATATGTAATGGAAATAGGTGTATCCATTCTTTGGTGACTTTTAATAAAATTTGATCATGAATATTTTTGTTTTTGACATCATCCTTCCAAAAGTATACTTTCTTAGAGGTATTTTCATAAACTGCCTATTTAATATATAAACATTTCTTTTAAGTTTTTTTTTAAGATTAGATTTTTACGTCTTCTTGAACCCACAGTAGAATTTCATAACAAATCATTTTATTGAAAATTTGACTTGGTACGATCCAATTTGAGGGAGTATTTAATCATATTTTGTGTATTCAAGGGGTCTACTCGAAAAACGCCATGAAAAAATTTGATTAAAAAAATAGCGAATATTTTGGACTTTTTTTCTAGGAATATTGATTAAAATATTTTTTGATACACAATGGAAATATTGATTTCCATTCTTTAGTGACTTATAGTGAAATTTGATGAGGAATATTTTTGTCTTTGACGTCATCCTTCTAAAATGATGTTTTGTTGGGGATTTTTGCATAAACTCGTATGGAGTAGGACTTTAAGCCTACAATGTGTTTTTAATATATTTTCATTCCAGGCGTTTAGGTAAGATTTTGACTTTTGACGTCTTCTAGGACCAGTAGTAGAATTTCATGACAAATAATTTTGTAGAATATTTTGACTTGCTACGATGCCGTTTAAAAGGAGTTTCTACGCATATATAAATAAAAGTACCAAAAAGACCCCTTCGGAGACTTGCTTGAGGATTTCTTTTCTTTTGGAACTTATAGCGAAATTTCATGGAGAACATTTTGGTCTTTGGCGTCATTCTTCTAAAATAATGCTTTGTTGGAGATATTTGCATAAACTCACTAAAATACGACTTTTATATATTTTTATGCAGATTTTAATAAAAAGACCAAAAAGGCCCATAAGGTGACTTCCTTTAGGGTTTATTTTCTTTTGGAACTTATAGCGAAATTTCATGGAGAACATTTTTGTCTTTGACGTCATTCTTTTAAAATGTTGATTTGTTGGAGATTTTTGCATAAACTCACTAAAGTACGACTTTAACCCTTAAATGTGTTTTTTATATTTTTCATTCTGGCGTTTAGGTAAGATTTAGGCTTTGGATGTCTTTTGGGACCCATAGTAGATTTTTATGTTAAATAATTTTGTAGAATAATTTGACTTGCTACGATCCCATTTCAAGAGAGTTTTTATCCATAATTTCAAATAAGGCCCAAAAAGACCCCTTTGTTGACTCGATTGAGGGTTTCATTTCTTTGGTAACTTATAATAAAATTTGATGGAGAATATTTTTGTCTTTGACGTCCTCCTTCTAAAATGATGCTTTGTTGGGGATTTTTGCATAAACTCCCACAAAGTACGGCTTTAACCCTAAAATGTGTTTTTTTATATATTTTCATTCCTGGCGTTTAGGTAAGATTTAGGCTTTGGATGTCTTTTGGGACCCATAGTAGAATTTTATGTTAAATAATTCTGTAGAATAATTTGACTTGCTACGATGCCGTTTAAAGGGAGTTTTAACGCACATATAAATAAAAGTACTAAAAGACCCCTTCGGTGATCTGCTTGGGGGTTGCATTTATTTTGGAACTTGTAGCGAAATTTTATGGAGAACATTTTTGTCTTTGACGTCATTTTTCCAAAATGATGCTTTGTTGGAGATATTTGCATAAACTCACTAAAATACGACTTTAACCCTAAAATGTGTTTTTAATATATTTTCATTCTGGCGTTTAGGTAAGATTTAGGCTTTGGATGTCTTTTGGAACCCATAGTAGAATTTTATGTTAAATAATTTTGTAGAATAATTTGATTGGCTACAATCCCATTTTAAGGGATTTTTTGAACATTTTTTCAAAAAAGGCCCAAAAAGACCCCTTTGTTGACTGGATTGACGGTTTCCTTTCTTTGGTAACTTATAATAAAATTTGATGGAGAATATTTTTGCCATTGACGCCCTCCTTCTAAAATGATGCTTTATTGGTGAAATTTGTACAGAATCCCACAATGTACGACTTTAACCCTAAAATGTGTTTTTAATGCATTTTCATTCTAGCGTTTATGTAAGGCTTAGACTTTTGACGTCATCTAGGACCTTTGGTTGAATTTCATGAAAAATAATTTTGTAGAATATTTTGACTTGCTACGTTCCCATTTTAAAGGAGTTTTTATCCATAATTTCAAAAAAGGACCAAAAAGACCCATTTTTGACTCGCTATAGGGGTTTCTTTCTTCGGTGACTTATAGTAAAATTTAATGAAGAATATTTTTGCCTTTGACGTCATTCTTCCAAAAATGATGATTTGTTGGAGGTTTAAAAAAATCGGCTTTAATCCAGAAAAAAACGGCTTTAACCCAAAAATAAGATTAAGCCTCTTGAGGTCTTCTAGGACCCTTAGTAGAATTTTAGACAAATAATTTTGTGGAATATTTTGATTAGTCACGATCCTGTTAAAGGGGAGCTTTTTTATTACGATGTTCCAAGTTTAAACTAAATCGGATACTCTCTTCGAGAATAATCGTGCGACCGACGGATGTACCCCTTTAGATCGTCTTCCTTTAGATCGTCGTGTCACCTTTAGATCGTCGTGCGCCCGACGGATGTACACCTTTAGATCGTCTTTAAATGAAATTAATGGAATTTTTGAAATAGTTTTGGTGCAAAAGGACCAAAAAGAATTATTTACGTTTTCAAATGATATATACCCTCCTGTAGCCATATGGCTGGTTGAGGCTATAATAAATCTCAAATCTCACTTAACTTGATTTGCATTTCATTCATCTGTTGTTTTGTG